CAGCAAACGTAAATATCATTTATACGGTTATTTTGTTTTTACCATTCTGCTCCATAACAATTCTGCTCCATAGAAACCACAGCAAACGTATTCTTCTTCATTCTTTGTTATTCTGCAACGCTTCAAGAATTAAATATCAGGTTAGTGTATTCAAAAATCAGAATACCAATATTTCTATTCCTCCATGTTCTTATTTATCTGTATCTATCACGTTCTCATTGTATGATTTCTATTCTTCTTCTTTTTTGTAATTCTTCTTAATCGTCTACTTCTTCTACCTTTTCAGTTTAAAAGACGAAAAACTAATGAACATTACAAGTTCATTTTCTTTAAAAAAAAATTAAAAATAGTCTTTTTCAGATGTGCACAGTAACTTTTTTTTATGGTATGAAATTTTAAAATTTGTTTGTTTTTATCTAAATACAATCTCAAAAAAATTTAGAATTTTAAAATTTATGAGTACATTAAGTCAGTTGTTATTGTCATGTGTTGATTTTTAATTTTTCTGTTTTACTCATTGTTATGTTATCTGTTAGTGTTAGTATGTTGCAGGGGCATTTTCGGTATAATTGTCGTTTTCATGTTTATTATATATTTGTGTTCCATCTTACTATATAAACTTTTATTCAATCTAAAACATTATTTCATATGAATTATTTTTGTTTGTATTCCATTTTATTATAAAATGAATTATTCAATTTAAAAATTTATGAGTACATTAAGTCAGTTGTTATTGTCATGTGTTGATTTATAATTTTTCTGTTTTACTTATTGGTTAGGATGTTCTGTACATTTTAAAAGGTTGCTAATTTTCCTTACAATTCTATAATGATTAAATTTATTGCAGAAAATGGAAATAGGAAATAAGGTTTACCTAAATAAATTGACCAGATAGATGAAAAATCGCATATCAAGGTTCGGGTGCTTAAAATTTGGAACTTGTCAGAAATAATAAAGTTTGTTCCATTGAAATGATCATCATGGATGAGGAGGTTTGTTTGTATTGATATATTTTTTATTCATCATTCAATATTAGATATGTTTCATGAACATAATAATTTTTAATTTTTTTTTTAAACAGGGTACACAATACCAAGCTCGTGTCTTCAATCAGAATTTCTCCAGATTTCGTCATCTTTTAAAGGAAGATGAAGTTATATAGTTATAAAACCCAATATGGCTGCTGTTACTAATGGTTTAGTTATTAAGTCATAAACAGACCTTAACTTTGGATTGGAAAAGCATCTAAAAAAATGTGATGATTTCTCGGGTCCGGTCAATGGATTTATGTTTGTTGACTTTAATTCTATCATAGAAAAACATGCCCAAAAGACACATTCTTTGGTTAGTCATAAAATATTAATAAAATCATTTTTTATCATTTATTTTTTTTGGTTATACATTTTATTATTTAAAATTACGAATTTAATCCTAAACTTTATTTTTTTGTGGTATCTGTTGTGTAGATGTTATTGGACATATCGTGTCATTTAGGCTTCTTGAAACTTCAAATCCAGTACCATCCAAGCATTATATAAAAGTCACTCTTAGCAACCTAGAGTGAGATTATATTGTATTATTTATTTATTATTTATTATCTTTAATTAATCACAAATTAATATTAATATACTATTTTATGGTTTATTTAGTTCTGTACATCTGAAGGTTACTATTTTTGGAAGTCAAGCATATCAAATTTAAATACCTAAAATAACCCGACTGTTAATTTTGTTGTTATCGTGATGCAGTTTTTTGAAGCTAAACATTTGGAATGGTTTGTATTCAGTCTTATATATAGATGCTTATAATTACTGTTTTTATATAAATTTTAATAATTGGATATACATTTTTTACAGGTCTTGGTGAAGCTAAAAGTCATTTTGAAGTAACGAAATTGTTCATAAATTCTGATTCATTATGAAATAAATGAGTTTTAAAAATAAGTTAGTTTCCATTGTTTTTTATTTTTTTATAATGTATTTAACTTAAAAAAAAAACACAAAACCTAATATTCATGAATCTAAATTAAACATTACAGGTTGAAATGTCATGACAATTCTGGTATAACTGAAAAAAGCATAACTACACTTCAAAGCTACTCTTCTTCATATACAGATGACTTTAAGGGTAATTTTCCATTAAAAACAATCTATGAAATCACCGAACCAATTAAGGTATATTGCATTATTTTATATGTTTTTACATTTTATTTTTGCATAATTTATTTTAATAATTTTTACATTTGATATGATACAGGAAATGAAGTTTTTATTAGTTGCTTCCATTGTTAATATAAGGCAGAATCTACCATGGTATTATGAAGCATGCAAAAAATGTGGAAAAAAAATTATCCCTGTTCCCAAAACCAATCATTCGTATACCAACCCTGAGGGAATTTCAGAAACTATGGTTGTCGAGTGTACAAATGCACAATGCAAAAAATCTAATTTCAGTCAGTTATAAAGTATAGACATATTTATTTCTATTAATTTTGTCAATCTTAAAACAACACTAACAATGACATAATTATTTTTTGTTTTAGGTATATAATTCCAATTAACGTACAAGATTGTACTGGAACCATTGGATTGACTCTTTTTGATAGGGAAGCAAGGAGGTTGTTAAATATAAGTGCCTACGAGTTGAAAAAGATACATGATGCGGTATATTATTCATACCTTTAAAATCAGAAAACATTTACTTAATTTTTTTAATTTATTAAAATATATCTTACAGGCCGGAGACATGATGCCCTATTTCCAATGCAACTTAACGTGTTGAAAAACCGCAAGTTGGTTTTGTTGTAGATATTACAGAATACAATGTCAACAACTATAATAAACATCTACACAGTTCTCAGAGTTACAGAAGATATGTCCATTGTTTGTGAATTGGAAAGTAAAATAGAACTTATGGTATGTAATTTTTTATTGTTGAAAATTTACAATTCTTTAATGTTAAAGTACATAATGATTAACATATTTCCATTTTATTTTTTAGAGTATTCAATCTGTCTCCTTAAATCAAGTTGCTTTGGAATCCGATGATGTTGTACAGCCTGTTCAAAAGGTTTTTCATTTTATTTTATAAACTTTTAATTATATTAGTTATTTTTTTTAGGAATCAAACATTTTTTTTTAAATTAGGATGTGATCTCACAAACAGACGAAAGTTTTACACCCTCAACAGTTGATAAGTCAACGCAACAAGTCCTTGCAAAATATCAGGTGATTTGAAGCGCAACCTCCAAGAAATTTATGATGTTGATTCTGGATATGATTTAAGTTCAACTAAGGCTAAAAGAAAGTCAACCGCAGAGAAAACTCCACTCTTGATTCCAAAAATTGAAAAGTGAGTTTCTATCGGTTATAAGACACATTTGATATATTTTGATCATTTGTTTTGGTTATAAAGATATTTTAATTGCTTGGTATGATTTTTATTTTGGGGTATTTAGGATGTCAAATATTATTGGTTTTGAATATTTTTAGATACTTTTATTGTTTTAAATTGGACAAGTTAGTTGATTTTGGTTATAACTCAAATAAAATATATTGCCCCTAACTTGATAAGTATTTCATATATCGCAATTAACAATTAAGACAAATCAATCAATCAATCAATTTGTATAAAAAATGCGAAATTCTTAGCTTTCTTCCCCAATTCGCATTCTACTGTAAAATTCGCATTCTTCATTCACCCTTTCTTCTTCGCATGTTCCAGTCATTTTTTTTTAGTTCATTCGCATTTGAGTTGTTTGTCTCACCAAATGCGAAATGAATATTAACCATAATCACCTTCGCATCTTTAACCCCAATCCATACAACCTCATATGCGAAACCCAATTTGATTTGTATTACCAAATGCGAACATTTTTGCTTTTACACGTGAACTGCATTTGACTCCAATATTGAACAAATCACATTTCACAGTCCTTCTTGACTTCGCATTTTTCTTCACGAATCGTCCCTCAATCAATAACCCAATTAACCCAATTGCGAATCCAAAATCAAAACTTATCTGTTTTCATATGCGAACCCAACTGATTGGCTTTTCAAAATCAAATTCGCAACTCCAAATCGTTCGATTATTCGCCCAATTCCAAAATCAAATAACAGATCCTTCGTATGATTCATTTAATAACCAAGGCTTCGTTCCAGAAAACATCGATTTAACAGTTATTCGTTCCCACAATCTTTAACCTCCGTTTTAAAATCGATCCCTGTATACAAACCCAATAACCAATCGAACACATACCATTCGAAAACAATAATCATTACACCCTTCAACAGATTTGACATCGCATTTTCAAAACAATCGATCTTACTTCATCTGCTTGATATATCGCAATTAACAATTAAGACAAATCAATCAATCAATCAATTTGTATATAATAAAATATTGCTATATATTGTAAAGACCATATTGCCCCTAACTTGATAAGTATTTGATATATCGCAGTTAACAATTAAGACAGATAAATAAATCAATCAATTTGTATAATAAAAATTCTACTATATATGTATTCTGAATAATAAAATCTGCTATTATGTATTCTGAATAATAAATCTGCTATATCAATCAATCTATGCCCTTAATTTGAAAACAAATAACTGAATGTATATTGCTATTTCTACTTTTTTTTTATGTATTCTGAATAAAAAATTTCTACTATAGTGTATGATATACTTTTTTATTTTTTATAACTGTCATCTTACTCTTTTCCATTTCTTTTACTTCAAAAAGACCATATTGCCCTTAACTTGATAAGTATTTGATATATCGCAGTTAAGAATTAAGACAAATAAATCAATCAATCAATTTGTATAATAAAATTCTGCTATTTATGTATTCTGAATAATAAAATCTGCTATTTATGTATTCTGAATAATAAAATCTGACCTATAATAATCAATCAATCTATTTGGTTTTTTATGTATTCTGCTATTTATGTATTCTGAATAACAAAAAATTCAATGTGTATTGCTATTTCTACTTTTTTTTTTTATGTATTTTGAATAATAAAACTTCTACTATAGTCTATGATATAGTTTTTTATTTTTTATAACTGTCATGTTACCCTTTTCCACTTCGTTTACTCCAAAACGACCATATTGCCCCTAACTTGAAAATGTTTGATATAATGCCAATAATAACAATTAAGACAAATAAATAATAAATAACAATCAATGGCTTTCGATTTTTCTTTTTATATTTTAACATTTTTGTTAACAAACAAAAAATTTTTTTTAATTGCAAGGTACAATGGAACATATTACTCCTATAAAGGAAATTGACTCAATCAAGGATGATTTCACAATTAAAGTTCGAATCATACATCTTTGGACTCAAAAGTCGAAAACTAAGTATATTGCTATTTATGTATTCTGAATAATAAAATCTGCTACTTATGTATTGATAATAAAATGTAAACAAAATTTATATCTTTGATTCTCTAAAATTAATTCATACATTTTTGTAATGGTTGCAGCATATTTACTTATCTTCTGTAAATAACCTATATTCAACCAACTATTTCCTAATATTCTATACTCCCTTTTTAGATGAAATTTGAATATTAAACTAATTTTTAGTTGTAATCTTTTAAATTCCAAAAAATCAGGAAGAAAATTATATCTAATAAAGATCCAACAACAATAAAATCATATAATCGTAATCTTTTTCCAATATTCAAGCATATAACTTTACCTCAAAACGTGAAATCCAAAATTTTGAAACACCTCATTCGTCTTCTTAATGTTCAATTGTTTCTGCGATTTTTTTTCATTAAGCTTACATCAAACTGCTTCATTAAAGTTGTAATCCTCATTCCAGTTCTACCTGCAAGATTTCCATATCCATATGTCAGGTTAGTATTATCAGTTTAGATCACTTTGTTTTCTCTATGAATTTATGGTTGAAATTTACAACAATAATCAATATGCTGGAATAGATGTTTTTCTAATTGTAAAAAAATAATCTTGAATAGATACATAAGATCAATAAGCAATTTATAATCATCACGATTATCGTGTATCACACAATTTTACCTTCATTGATTCCATGGAGATCTAGGGTTTTAACCCCTGATATCATCCGAACCCACGATTGGTTGAAATTGGGAAACAGTAGATTTAAATCGAATAAACCCTAGGTTGGAAATGAGGATGATGAGTCATGATGCTCATCAGGGAAATAATTGATATCAGGTAACTTTTTAAAATCTTCAATTTACTAATTTTTTTAAAATATATTATAAAAGAGTAAATTAATATTTGCAAATTTTGTTAAACATTTTAATAAACAAATTAATAAAGGTAACTTTTTAAATACATTTACTTTATTATCATTATTTATTTAATTCTAACTAACTTCAATTGTATTATATAAACATATTATGTACATAATTTCACATTTCATTTCCTAACCTATGTCTTCTTATGCAGAAAACAACAGTAACATGTACCACATGCAGGCCAAAGAGAAAAGAAGACAAAGAAAAATATATTTGGAAAATAAAAGATCGAAGAAAATAAAAACAATATCAAACGTTCCAAGTATATCATTACAGCATCTCTTCAAAAAAACCATTAACTATAACCGTATTAGTATTTTATATTCCATCTTTTACTGTTATATAGTTGAATACATATATTTACAAGTTTTATAAGTTATTTCTATTTGCAGATCAATCAACCAACATTGTTCGTCAAACTCAAAATGTCAATTCATTTACAACACCTGCAAAGCATAACACAACCATACAATACTGTCCTTCCTTTACAGATGTTAGAACTCCATTTTCTAACATTACAAATGTTATAAATCCGTTATCTAACATTACGAATGGTAATTATTTATGGTTTTTAAAATATACTATTATCCATTATGTAAATATTTATTTATTTAGTTAACTAATTTTATTTTTATTTTATTCAGATAACATTGGTTTCGATAAATATATCACTTCCAAGTTAGCAAAGAAAAGACAGTACCATGTACTTTCAAATGATATGACATCAAAAAATGCATCTACAGTAACAACTTCTTCATCATCAATCAAGTTAAATCCAGGATGTCATAAATTAAAAACGAAGACAAGACATTTATCCCCTATCCCATTGATTGATTTGACAGAAGATGTAGAAAATATACATCAAGTGAACAATGAAAATCGTATAGTTGGTATCTCAAATGGTAATGAAAAAATAAAATCCATTTTACATTTCAGATACTATGTTCTATATAATTATAAAATTCATTGATATTTTATTCAACGCTTTTATTTTACAGAATATTTGGATCATGGTGATCAAGATGTTGTATGTCAAACATGTCGTGCAAAGTTATGGAGAAATGAATCCATTAGAGGTAAAGAAAATGGGAACACGGATTATTCATTATGTTGTGGTTACGGCAAAGTTCAACTTCCAGACTTAAAGAATGCACCCCCTACTTATGAAAGAATGTTTCGAAATATGGATTCAAAAAGCAAACATTTCATGAAAAACATTCGACGTTACAATTCAATGTTTTCTTTCACGTCGATGGGTGGTAAAATTGACTCTTCAATCAATAGAGGAAACGCTCCTTACATTTTCAGATTGGGTGGTCAAAATTATCATAGTATTGGAAGTCTTTTGCCAGCAAAAGGATCGGAACCAAAATTCTCTCAGTTATACATTTATGACACTGACAACGAAATTACAAATAGACAAAGATGTTTTCGGTATTTTCTCAAACTTCTTATTCATAATCTATTATTATTATTATTATTATATATATATATATATATATATATATATATATTATGTATATATTACTAATATTATGTATAAATTTATTTATTTTAGTGGTGAAAAAGATCAATCAACATCAACTGATAGTGATATTGTTAAAGATATTAAGGTGATGTTGGATTCAAATAATGTCTTGGTTAGATCTTATAGAATGGTAAGAGATACTTTTCAAAAAAATCCAGAAGTTGATATGAAATTACGACTTATCGGGAGAAGGGAGCAAGATGGAAGAACATATAACCTACCGACTGCTTCTGAGGTTGCTGCTTTAATAATTGGTGACATTTCGGATTCAATCGAAAAGAGGGATATCGTCGTTCAAACAAAAAATGGTTGTCTACAACGTATCAGTGAATTGCATCCTTCGTACCTTCCTCTCCAATATCCATTGCTATTTCCATATGGGGATGATGGTTATAGTGTTGACATTCTTCATA